GGACTTACACCACTTTCAAAATTAGTCCATTGTAAAAATCTTATAGCTTTAATTTTAAAAATCAAATATCATTTAAAATATATTTAACAATGCTACAATTTTATTTACAAATCATAACAAGATAAAAAATATAAGTAGTATTTTTAATTTTAAACGATGACCAGATTCTCCACTCAAGGTATGTGTGATTTATAGCACCTCTCCTCAGCCTCTACTGGTTCTTACTACCATTAATGCAGCTGAGTGCGAGGTGCAGGAATCTCCAAGAGTCCTGCCTTTCCTTCCACGAGTAGGGAGAAAGGCTTGGCTCGGAGATCTTGAGTGAACGAATTTTACTTTCACTTACCCTATATATGTAATATATAGCAAGTGTAAGTATTGCGATCGTGAAAAGTTTTCAGCGGAAATACACGGTTTGAGGTCCCCTGAGTAGAACTAACCAAGTCCCGAAAAATGGTCTGTGTGTATGTGAACACTCTTGCTGGAAACCGAAAAGTCGTACGAAACAGATATTTAAGATATATATACTTTTGCAGATAGATATACAGGAAACTTTTTCCTTAAAATCGGCTAACCGGATGTGCCATTTTATATCAACGCTGAAAAACATTTATACAATTTTCTCAAAAACAGCTCTAACGATTTTGATTAAACTCGGTATAACATTGTGGTTAACTAGTTCAAACCCAAATTGCGTTGCTACCGATTACTGAGGGTTACTTTAACTTGAATAATCTGAGTTTAGTTCATATATTATACTTTTATTTGCAATCTCCAGTTAATCATTATAAAATATTTAATTTACTAAAATTGGAAATTTAGTTTAAAAAATCTTACAATATATGGTATAAGACTTTATACCATACTCCAGTACAGTTCTGCTGTCCTGGAACTTGAAATTAAGAATTCACATTCATATTAAACGTATGACAATGATAATATGGTTAAGAATAGCATTAATGCTTTCGCTAACTTAATAATGCTATGACAATTTGGCCAACGACGACTACAAGATATTTCGCGGCTGGAAAACTCTTTATTATGTTTGTGTTTGGTAAATATAATTAAAGAGATCGTCGTACCTAATATAAACGAGTAAATTTAAGTTTAACATACTAATAATGGTAATTAAATATAATATATAGGCTTATTGCTACTGAAACTCTAAAAAGATACATACGTAGATGCTGAGATCGGAATTAAAAAGTGCTGAAATTTCGTTCAAAACTGTTTTTTTTGGTTGTCCTCCTCTTCCAGGCCTTTTAGGCTATACGGGATTTCCCGGGCCGGGGTGGTGAGGTCGGTGAATCTAAAATCCCTTCGGACACCGAGACGCGAACTCGTACTTCGTTAATACGAACTCGTAACTCGCGGTTATCAGCGTTAGTCCATTCGGCCACCCCGCCCCATATTTCGTCCAAACCGTTGAATACTAAATGTAGAAAACAACTGTGTTTTTTTAATTTTGCAATAATCTTTCCGCCCTCACCCACTGTCCCGGAAAAAAACCCGTATAGCCTAAAAGGAGAGAAAGATGAGAACAAGAAAGAAAATTTGATTTTGTAATTACATAATTTGTACAAATATGAGTAATTTCCTTCAATTATTTTCACAGTTAATTTTAAATTTAATTAATGGCATATTTTATTCTTATCTGTAAGAAACAGTGGCATTAAACATTGTTTAGTGCAAGTTAGACCTTTCTGCTCTATTCATTTGTTTTTTCTTCTCTTTGTTTGTTCTTTTGTCTGGGGAGATATTTATTACTTGGTAGGTACCATCGAAATTCTTTCCTTTGAAAGGGCAAGGACATTGTGCAACAGCCTTAATTTATTTCAACTGCATACCTTGTCTGTTTTGGCCAGTACACAGTGAAGAGTTTCAAACGCATGTTTTCCAATTCGTATTTTTTATGCCGACAGTAATACGCTCTCCTATAACATGTAAAAAACATTCCACGAATCTAATTGTTTTGAAAAAAAATAATTATTTTGAATTTTGTATTAAAGTAAATTAAATTATGAAAATTATCAATGAGATTTAAAACGAAATATTTAGACCTATTTAAATATATAGATATCTTAATATTATATATATATATTTGAGTCGTCAGTACAGCTCCTAATAAACAACAGATTAAATTACTGACTAATTTTATTGTAAGTTATCAATAAGTCAATTGAATGGGCGTTTTCTCAAGTTACGTAGGTACTTTTTCAAATAATGGTCTTACGAACTACAAACATAAATCATTAAAATTGAAAATATCATTTAATAATCTGTTTTCGATTTTCTTTTGGTGCCATTTTATCTTTTTATCTTAAATTTATTGCAGCATTTAATAGATTTATAGTTTTTATTTTTCTAATTTTATAGTTATTTCGAAAATTACTATAAAATTGATAATGATAATTAACCAAGGGTTGTCGGATTTTTTTGAGCTTATATTGGCTATACTTTTAGGCGTGCTGGCATATTTTAAGCCTGGAATTTCCAGTGTTACTCTGTTTTAGGTTTTTTGACACATTATGACAATTAATTCCATAGCAATTTTTCCCCATTAAATCTAATGTGTAACCCAGTAATCCTAAGATATAATATTAGCCTATTTATTTATTTCTTATGAAAAGTGACAATTAGGATTTGTTGCCAATTAGGATTTGTTCTACACTCTGATCGGGTTTTATTGTATGGAGCTAGAATTAATGTAATTATTATTGGTTTCTCTTTTTTTTTTTTCTTTTTTTTATGAGTTCCAATCGTACCAGTCTCGCAATTCCTTCATCACTTCTTTCTTCTTCTTAAACAAACTTAAAATAGCCGTCACGGGTACCTCTTTATTTCAAACCCCTATGTGAATAGTACATGGTTACTTTTTAGAATTTTATGTGCTCCTCAGTTATTCATAATTTTAAAAAGAGATTGTAATGTCCAAATTACCTAGACTCGCATGCTATACTTTTCTTTGTTTTTTTTTTTTTGTACATTTGTTTTTCTGAGACCGGTCAAGGCCTAATCTACCACAATTACATGGCTTAATATATTTTAACGTATATGAATTAATTAATAGCTGAAGGACTCATAATGCCCCATGGCATCCCTACAATTATATCATTCAGGTAGCGTAAATAATGATTGACTAACAACTCTCTGTTACCTGAGACGGTTGGCGCGTGGAGATTACTGTTGACCAAGTCGGCAGCCTTATCAACATCTATCCTTCACCTAGAGATGGCATTGATCCTAGAGATCCATTAGTACGACTTATTCACATATTCGCCAATATATGTATCGTTAATGTAGTTGTTAATAATTTGATATTAGTAATTAGGTAAATTATAAATAAATAAAAGTTATATAAATATATATGAGTCGTTTATTTCTCAAGTAATTTTAATTTGAGGAATGAGATGGTCATAACGAGTTTGCGGTCATAAATAGGCTAAATAGTGGCAAAACTATTTTATTAAAAGCCAAGGTTTCGAACCGACTTTGCAAGTCTTCTTCAGGGTAGAATCTGCAATTTTAAGCTAAACAACTAAATCTCTGAGATTTTGTTTTATGAATTGAAAAGTCGCATAAAGACAAGTTTTTCTCGATGTGGCGCAATCACCATTATCGTCCAGCGATCGAAAAAATAACTCAAACCAAGTATCGTCTATTCATTTATTTCATCAATTAAATGAAATTTTTTTCATTAATATTATTTTATTTTTTATACACAACTGGACCAGTACTGGTACATGGTACCGGTATATTAAATTACTATAACTCATCCCATGGATCTTTTTTTTTTATTTATATATTTTTAGGTTATTTTATTCTTATTGTATGTATGTTATTTTTCTGTATAATTTATTTTATTTACTGTACATGGAGTGTGAATGTGATCTGTGAACACTATTATAAATGTCCTTGAGACAGATTGTAATATTTTTCAATAAAAAAAAAAAAAAAAAAAATTACCATTTAGCATTTCTGTATCTAACTATTTTAATTTTAAAAAATATCGTCTTTTTGAAGAAAAATAGATCTTTAAATATTAGTATAGATGTCCTAGATAATACACTTGAACTTCGATTGTCACTTTTCTGAATACTAGTTTTATTTTTTTAAATTTTAAAATGGCATTTTGAAATGGGATTTTGCTCAGTGTTGGTGGGAAAAGAAAAGGCTTTATGGAATAAAATGATTCTTATTAGTCATCTTCGAGCTAAAAAAAAAATCACTCTGAAAGTTAAGTTAAGTTTCTAAATTAGATAAATCTAATCTAGAATAATACTGCTTAATTCGTAAGTTGATTTCAATCTTTTTATCATTTACATTCTTTTGGGAACTTTTTAAGGTTAAATTCGAAAACTTACAATAGATTTACAGAAAACGACTCTTGAATATGCATGTTTTTTTATTAAAAGTAAAAAAAAAGTTTTATTAAAAATCACTGAACAAATAGTTACTGCATAGATGTTCCGAAAGGAAAAAAAAAATTCAAATTACATAATTTAGTTCCATAGAATAAATTAACAAATTACTATTTCAGTTTAAATAAGAAAAAATTATTAGCACATTGGAAAGATATAATGGCAATGAATATAGTAAATTAAAAGTAAACCATAAATATTTGATGTAAACAAACAATAGAAAAATTCTCCTGTTCTCTTAATGCTTATACTAAAGAAACTGATTTCATTAATTGGAAATGAGAACGATTAAAATAAAATGTATTAAATTTATACGAATAATACTAGGATGTATAAAAAATAGACCGTTTTATCAAATTCAAGATTTCAAAGAAATTTAAATAATTTAATACTTACCATTACTTAATAATTTCTGTAGAGCATTCTCTAAGCTTATTAAGCCTCAGTTTACTTATCTGTTTAAAAGAAGAAACATGGCAGTGTCCTACGAAATTCTCGTAATTTTAAGGCATCGCTGAAAAAAAAAAAAATTCACAGCCTCTGAGGCTACTCCTAGAATTATTAAACATGAAGGGGAAGATGTCCTCGACCAGCGCACCGCGCAGAGTAGGCTTGCCAAATTTTGCGGTGGAGATACGACGTTAGAAAGGAAGAAGGGCTCCAGGCGACCATTAATGGATATTGATGAGGTTCTGAGAGAAGATATTGGGTCAAATCCGCCCCAAGCACTCGTGAACTTGCCAGGGAGTGTGGTGTGTCGAAAGATACTATTAGTCGCCATCTACTCTCACTCGGGAACGTTAAAAAGAGCAGACTGGTCCCTCACGAACTTACTCCTCAGCAATCAGCTAGAAGGTTAGAAATTTTTGAAAATCCATCGGCTGAAAAACTCCTCTCTCATCCACCATATAGTTCTTTGCGGATGTCTTCAGAGATCTTTGAGTTTTTTTTGAAATCTTAAGAGCTCTTTAACAGCCATCCCAAAGAATAGTATCAGCGTGGGATCGAGCAATTGGCTAGCAGATGGTTAATGACGGTAAATAGCAATGGACTATACTTGGAGTATTAATTGTATTTTATATCAAAGAAATAATAATTCAAATTTCTGGTTGAAGAACGGTAATTTTTTTTTCTATACACCCTATAAGTAAATAGCAATCGTTACATTTTCATACAAAATCGCTGTTACTGATGTAACCAAATTTTGGACAGATATGAAACCTTAATCCTAAATAAACGCTTCCAAACTATTTTTGTAATTATCATCCATAATATTAGTTGGACAATTAAAATTAAAATAATAGTGATATTTGTAACGCATACTTTTTTTGACTTTGCATATTTTGTAAGAAAAAGTGTATAGTCTCTCTCCAGCTCTTTTATTACTCATGATTGCTCATGAACCATAGATACTTTTAAACCCTTTTCCGTAATATTAAATGGATAGTGTTGTAAAAAAAATCCGGTAATATTCGTTGCGACGTTTTTCTCCAAATTTTGGAGTTAAATCTGTTTTCTTACTTTACAATCAAGGTGTTTAAGATAATTAAGCAATAAGTGTTTATAATTCGAAACATTATACAGATTGGTTGATAAACAGATACAATATACAGATTGATTCATACCAAAGCTTGAAGAACGTGAGCATGTTGACCTTGAGGACATTATCATTCGATAAAGGGGTTGTAATCTTTATGGAACTTTTTAAATACATTTTAACAGTTCCTACAAACATTTTTTAGAGAAAAGTTATTAAAATAAAAGTTTTAAGGAACTTTTTTATCAAAGTTCCATTACAAAAGTCCAATAAATGAGGAATAAACTGTAAGTGGACTTACATTGGTGTATAATTCGTCTAAAAATAATCACATATGATTCTTATTTGACGTTGATTTGAATAGTTGAATAGAATATTTATTTATTTGGTATTTTGTTGCCTCTACCCTGTAGGGTCATTGGCAACGCCATTAAATTACACTCTGTTGCAGAGTTTTATCACTTTCGTTAACGATTTCGTCAGGGTCAGTTATAATGTCTTGTCCACTCTTTATACCAGGCAATTTCTTTGTTTTGGGGATCCCCTTAATGCTTTTCACTTTATTCCAGAGCTCCTTTATTGAAATGCTTTGATTTAATGAAGATACGAAGTCTTCCCATGACGATCTTTTGCTTTTCGGTATATATTGTAATCTTTGTATCTCACTGTTTGAGTTTCTTGGAGACAAACTAGAATAGGGTTCTCTTCGCTTATTGTCATTTTTAGGTGCTCTAAATGTCGGAAAAATCTGTTACAATTCCATTGAATGATTGTTTTCATTTTGATTGGCAAAGTGTTTCTTGATGAATAGAATAAAAATCATTTTTAGATCGACTTTTTAGCAAAATTAACAGAATTTTGAAATTAAAATTTAAAAAAAAAGTTTAATAAATCCTTCACTGGAAAATTCGAAAGAGAAAAAAATCTAGTTTCTAAAAAACTGAAAAACTATCGACAGTAAAATTCATGTGATGCCAAAACTTTTAAAAATAATTGTTTTCCCCGTTTCAAGCTCTGATTCGTCACGTTTTTCTACATTCACATTGAAATATTTCTTCATGTGCTCGAGTTAAATTTACTGAAATGCCACCATTCCGTTCTTTAGAAACAATATAAAAACATAATACTATTATTTAATAAAAACGTGAAAACTAAATAAACGTGTAATAATAAAATAATTACCCATGTTTAGATACTCTTGCCAATAAAATAATAAATTCAAACCATATTACTTTGACAATTAATAAAATTTATCAATAATTATTTTGAAATACTTTTATGTTATAAATACTTGTGACCAATAATTTAGCTAAGTATAAAAAGTAAACGTCTTAGCTTTGTTTATATTGATTAGATACTTTTTTCTATTATAATGAAAACAGTTAATTAATGTAATACAAATATGTCATTTTTTTATTTTTACTTATTTTTTTTTAGATCCAAGAGTGGAAAACTGGCCTCTAATGGATTCGCCATTTCCAACCCTATTTATGGTTGGAGCGTATTTATATTTCGTAGTCTTCCTGGGTCCAAAAATGATGGAAAACAGGAAACCCTTCAAACTCAATTCTGTCCTGATAGTCTACAACGCTGCGCAGACATTGTTCAGTCTCATCATGTTTTCTGAGGTAAGATAAATTATTTAATAATAATCATATAGATAAATAGTTTATTGGCTAGTATATACCTCTTCTAGCCATGAAATTTAGCCCATTTGGAGTTAGCAGTTGTTAGTATTGAATGGCAATGAAAACATATATAAGCAGATATAAATAAGTATACATTCGTAAATTCCTATTGCTTACGATAAAATCCTAGTATAATTTAATAATGCAACGAATTAAATTTTTAATACTAATAAATAATTAAAATGTTATTCCAAATACTGTATAGATAATTAAATAGTATTCCTATTGGAACAAATGAAAGTGCTCATCTTAACATAATTTAAAAATATACTGAATTAACGTTTCTTTAACCTTGACCAACTACTTAATAAGTACCAAAATCACGGGTTTGGTACTTATTAAGTAGTAATAGGTTTTTTTGACAAATTAAATGGATTCGTTGTTACTTTAAGTATATATAGTTTATAAAAAAAAAAGAGATAAATCTTATTTAGTTTATCCACACTATCAATATTCAGAAGATTTTCTGTGGTTGATTGTTTACTGTTTTGAACACTATAATTTCCCAGATAATTTTCTCTGTCAATATTCAGTGTGGGACATTGCAATAACAAGTTTTTTTAAGTTATGGGCTATTATTATTTACAACATCTACATTTTTCACTGTTTTTATAATACAAGTAGTATCATTATGAAAAAGTTTCAACTTTTCAGTATCTGAAATTCTTAATTGGCTAACGAGTTTCTGTTTATTTATATTTACATGATAAGTTAAATATTCTTGCGGCTGAAGACTATTAAAAGTAAAATTAGTTCTGTAAAGTGGGTTGTATTTAGAGTTGAGAGCTCTATCAATGTATATATAGTAGATAGAGATGATTCTTTTCTTTTTCGATAATTATATCTTTATTAGTAAGCAAGTGACTTGGTTTTAACTCTTTAAAAAGGTCGTCTTCAATATAATTATTTGCTGCTGCTTTTTTTTTTAATTTATGAGATCCAATTAAAACCTGTATCTCTCTCTTTTGTATCTAAATTAATGAGTCTGACAAGGAATTTGCGTGTCATTCGGTTTTCAGGCATTGAAAGAAGCTTAATACAAAAATTAATAATTCTCTTCAAGAATTACATTTAGTTCAGATAAGTATGAAAGCGTTTTTAATTTCTTTATATATATATATATATATATATTATATATATATATATATATACACATATATACATATATACATATATATATATTTATATATATATATATATATATATATATATATATATTTAATGTTGGCTCATGTTTGATTTGTTCTGTTATTTCATGTTTTCTTTTCTTTTGTTATAACTTTCTGTTGTTTTTATTTTATTTTGTATATGGTATGATTGTTTCATCCATCCCAAATACTCAATGCTCTTAATTGAGGCAAAATGTATTTTTTTTTCTCAATAAAATTTGAGCTATCGATTGAAATTCCCTATGGCACCGTACTTTTTGAAAACAAAAAAGTGTTGGGCTCAAACTGCAATAGACCGGAATTCAGCATATAATGTTCCCATTTTGGTGTTAGGTTTTTAAAACTTTCATATGTGATTTTACCGAATAAACCACCTGGATTCGGTAAAATCACATAAAATGATTTTAAAAAATAAATAATATAATAAAAACCTAAATATATATATATATCAAAACATTTTAAATTAAATTAAAATTATTAATAAAATAATAGTTCATTCATTATGTTATTTTTGCAAACTTTATTTTGAAATTAACAAATTACAAACCATTGTTACATGATAGTTCCTATTTAATTCACACAGAAGTATTTTCTCATATGGAGTAAGTATTCTCGTGTGTACCGTAATAGAAGGAATCGAGGAAAAGATAAGTTATTGGTAAAAAGTAAAGAAAAACCTTGGCACTTTTCACCTCGTTCTGTTTTGTATGAAGAAATAGAACTGCGTTAATTAATTAAAAACCTATCGTCTACACCCTCATGAATAATATGTGTATTTGGTTAAAACTAAGTTGTTGGTAACTTTAAATTGAGGCGTAAAATTACGAAATAGCCGACGTAATCTGTTTCCTGTTCACTCTTGCCATCATTAGAAACATCAGATAGTTGTGTCCGATATAAGTTATTATGTTTGGAGTCCTTATTTTAATATAACTTGATCATAAAGATAATACTTTATGAAATAATGAACTAAGGACAAGTTCTTAAACGCATCGTTTTGTCCAGTTTTAGAAATGGATACGGTGCCATCGGTGACAGATAAATTTAGTAACTTTCCATATATTTTCTGGCTCCATACTTCCTCAAAAATTTAAAATTAAATAAATTAATGAGTATATTATATTTCAATAAATATAAAATCAAAATATTTACAATTTTATTTATTACTTAAAATTATATACATATTATGCTACACAATAATAATATTTGGTCATTCTACAAAATCATGCTTTGTTTGCAATTACTTCATTTATTATTTATTTTTTGAATTATGAATTGCTAGCCTAGTAACAAGCATATCATTTCCCATCTTGTAGATTTCTCGAACGTGGTAGTATTCTATCGAAATTTCCATAACTAATGAAAGTTATTTATAAAACACATATCCTTCCATTTTCTTAGTGGTCTACTGAAAATTATGCTAAGAAAAACTTACTTAAAAACTTACATAAAAGTCAAATGTTTTATAAATAACTGAAACAAATTATACTTTAGCTCCGAGCTGAAATAACTTGATGTGTAAAGAAATATCTTCGCAATGAAAATAATTGAAATACCCGTTTTTTATAGTTATTTATTAGGATTTGTTTTAAACCTCTACAACTGTATTTTTCAACTTTTTTGCAATTTATACAAAGCCTCCAACTAAATATCCGTTATGTAACAATTGTTTTTATATTTTTATATTATATGCTATTATCTAAACATTTAAAAGGGGTATTTAACGTAGTATGACATCAACATTGTGTTCTGATCAAAGAAGAGAGCATTGCTGAAAATAAATGTTTTTCATATTAAATCTCGTATTGTGCATCTTAAATTATTGAAAATATTCAAGTTTTTTATTCATCTAAACTGTATATCTCTAACCCAGAGTTAAACAACACTATGTCCATTTTTGTATATGTTCAGAGAAGCCAATGTTCGATAACTTTGAGATATTAAAATTTGTTTCTTTGTTACTAAATATGTGCACCGGAGGTCATGTCACATGTTTTTAATTTTTTAGGAAGCCGTCTTTCCATGAACTACTAAATTCGTTTTTTCATTACTAAATTAATCAATGAAAAAATGGACATGGTATCTTTACCTCCAGAGCACAGGTAGGTGTGTGTGCGTGTGTGTGTGTGTGTGTGTAATAAAAAAGTAGAATAATGGAAGCATTAGTTATAAATGGAAATCTTTAATGTGTACCACATGCTAATATTGATTCATGATCAAAAATTAAATAACTCTGCCATCTTATCCATAGATCTGCATGGTGCTTGCGTTAAAGTGTTACAAAGAGAACTAAAACTGGAAGATTTTCCATTACTTTGTTTTTTCATCTTACCTCTTTATCTCAAACATTCCAAAAATATCTTATAATGATAAATCTCAATTGTACTGTGAATCTTCTAGATGGACCTTAGATTTTCACAATGTGGTTTTAACTCCTGTGCATATGAATGCAGATATGTATGCTGTTCATTACATTTTTTTTTTAATATTACTTTAATCTCACCCAAGACCTAGAAAGATAATTATCCAAACCAGTTTCAAAAGGACTTCCACGTTATAAGGACGAAGGCTGTTTTCCAGTTACTCCACAATGAACTTGAGGTTCCAAATGTGACCTGTAACATGAGGGTCTATTAACCTTGGTCTGATGGGACCCTCAAGGATCTGCGTGGGCTAAATGTTGGATGGATCTGTATAGCATGTCTCCTGGAACTTGTTTGGGAATTTCCTATTTAATTCCCCTCACTAAGTGCATCTCATTTCCGCGTATCTGATCCCGATTGAGGGTATTATTATTGCAACATAAGATTCTCGTTGAGCGTCTACTTCGGCTGAGAGAAAAAAATATGCAAGAGGTTATAGACCGCGGTACAGACCCCTTTTTATCAAATTATTAACATGCGCCTGAAACTTCGTTAATAGCTTCATCTCATCGTAACCTACAAACATTTTATTTACAAAATTTCTCGGAATCGGGACGTTTTCAATCTGAAGTTCTGCGAACTTTGCCTATTTCATTAGGTACTAAAAACTCTTAAATACCTATTTGCTTTCCACTTTAATCGTAAGATCACTTGAGCACAAAGTCGAGAAAAAAGGTGGCCTTAAAAAATTTTGAGCCATTTGGCTTACATAACATCGTTATTTTGACAATTTGGGAGTAAAGGTCACGCCAAACGGCTCAATATTTTTGAAGGCCACCTTTTTCATAACTTTTTGCTCAAGTGATTTTACAATTAAAGAGGAAAGCAAATGGGTATTTATGAGTTTTCAGTATTTAATTAAATAGACAAAGTTTGCAAACCTTCCGATTGGAAATGCCCCAAATCCGGGAATTTTCGAAAATAAAATATTTATAGGTTACGATGAGATGAAGATATTTCCGAAGTTTCAACCGGATGTTAATAATTTGACATAAAAGTATACTATTTAATCGTGTAAGATTTTTGTCATTAGTAATTATATCTTTTTAACATTTATTTCTTTAAAATTATAGCAAAACAAATTCATTTTAAAAAAATGTCTAAGAACAAAAAGAAATTTACCTTCCTTAATCTCAACTCTTATGGACCACAGCACAGTATTCAACATAGTCAGCTTGATAGAAATATCCAGAAAAAGTATTTCAAAGATTAGGATTAGTAGCAAATTCAGCAACAATAAAGGATAGAATAATTAGACGTTATGTAAATCCAATTCATAGCTGCATATACAAAACAAAAACGTAACCATGCAATTCTGTTTCTTTGGGTGGTGCTGTTCCAATGTTTGCACTCAAAACTTCTTCCGAATAATTGTGTCATTCCCTAGCCTTTGTAATGGCTCAGTTTTGCGCATCAGGATCTCTCATGTGGAGTTTAGAATGCGTTGGGATCAGCATTTTAGGTTGCAGTAAGTTCAGCTTTAACCATTGTTTGTTATCAGTTCATATAAAATATGTTATATGCATATTGAACAAAAACACTTTAAGGGAAAATTAAAAAAACATGCTTTTTTTTTTTTAATCTATTTATTGAATAATAATACAATCAGCCACTGGAGGGCTATAACTATTAGAGCTAAGAGTTCTAAAAAAAAATATATATGTAAAGTATGTAATTAGCTTTATAGTATAGTGTGTAAAAAATGTAAGTAGCCTATTTGTGTTAGCATTGATTCCTGACTCCATCGACTATTCAATTCTTTTATTTTTTTTATGTACTGATTTACATTAGCATCACATAATGGACAGTCCAAACTTCTGCCCGAAACGAGGAGTTTGTGTCCACGGACCATGTCCAACAGGCAAGGCCACATTACGTTATGCGTCTAGCAGGAAACCTATAGGTACCCGCATGGTAAATGGTTACGAGGACGTACATATATCTGTCTTGCTCGAAAAGGAAATTAGAATTAATTGCGATTAATATCTAATTGGTATATGAAGTAAGAATTGTTTGTCCCTGAAGGTTATTTACTTAACATCCGATCATATTTAAACTTAAAAAATTCGGAATTATCATCGGCTTAATAGGTATAGGTCTAGTGAATCATTCATCAATCCCTTCCGCTCTTCAGTTTGATCATTCTCAGCAATTTTTCACCCCGTGTCGATACGCATTAGTTCCAAGAACACTAGGACATACTAATAATAAGTACTGAACTGTGTTACATAGAGCATTAAATACATAGATCATTTTGTTATTTGAATAGGTTTTGGCCACAATTAATATTCCCGATAACACGCTCAGGAAACTCAATAAGAGTTTCATTCCTCAAGATCTTCTCGCTTTTAAATATGAATATTAAAATAAAGATATGAAGTATGCCGTCACAATGCTCTCTCTCTTTACGCCTATCAACGCCTTGCTACTCATATTGGACAATATTCCCGACAGATGTGGATGAAGAAATAATGTTAGACAAGAATAAATATATATATATTCAAAACTTTGTATTTTGGTGATTATAAAATACTTGGTAAAAATAATTTCTTCTTAACATTCAGCAATTCGCCTCTACCAAAAAAAAGGTATAACATTGGTCCTAGAATTTAGTACTTAGATGCCATCTTGCAATAACCGAAAGAGGTACTTTTCATATATATATATATATTTTTTTCTTATATAAATCTTCAAACAGCTCCATCTCAGAATTTATTGCTGCTATAAGTTTTTTATTAGTCTAAAAAATTAATAATAATAATAATAATAAGGCTTAGCGAACCCGAAGATTCGATGCCGACACCACCAATCGCTTGTTACACACCTCCCTCCACCGTTCGCCGTCCAAACCCAGTCCCTTCAGATCGGCTTTAATGCAATCTTCCCACCTTCGCTTCGGTCTACCCCTCGGACGCTTACCATTCGGCACAGCAAATATTAACCTTTTAGGAATTCTCTCGTTACTAAGCCCAACAACTTTACAAGCCCATTTGATTCGCCGCGATGAAATTACCTCTATTATATTACCCGAATACAGCTCACGCAATTCGGCGTTGTGTAACCGTCTAAACTCTCCGGTTAACTCATCCTTCTTCGGTCCGAATATTCTACGCAATACTTTATTTTCAAAAACCTTAAGACGTTGCTCATCCCTTAATGTAAGCGGCCAAGTTTCGCATCCATAAAGAACTGTAGGCAAGATAATTGTTTTATAGATTCTAATTTTTAAGTTTCGGGACAAGAGGCGCGAACTAAGTAGTTTTGTCACAGAAAAATAACAAGCATTCCCCGCCTTCAGTCTAACCTTAATCTCTTCTTCAATTTCGTTTTTTCTAGTTATCGTTGAACCTAGGTACCTAAATTTATCTACCTGTTCAAACATATTACCATCTATATCGATATCACCAGTAGTATCGCCATTTTTGCAGCTAACCATATATTTTGTTTTATCCACGTTTATTTCGAGTCCTAGTTCTTTACCGGCTTTCATTAACGTTGTCGTATTTAGTTTTATAGTTTCAACGTCTTCGCTTAAGAGTACCAGATCATCAGCATAGCCCAGCACGGATGTTGTCCCGCCCAGATCCAACCCTTTCTCGGTTCGCATTACCTCCCTAATGGCATGTTCTAATGCCAAATTGAACAGGACAGGCGAAAGAGAATCCCCCTGTTTTAAGCCCGAATGAACCTCAAATTTTTCGGACAAATTATTACCGATTCTAACTTTATTAAGTGTCTCCGTCAAGCACATCCTGACTAGATTTACTAGTTTTTTTGGAATCCCCTGCTCGATTAGAATATTATACAGTTTCTGGCGGTCAATAGAATCGTAAGCCTTTTTAAAGTCTATATACAGCTGGTGAACAATACCGTTATACTCCAATTTTTTCTCTAATATTTGCCGTAAAGAAAATATTTGATCAATAGTCGAACGATTCCGTCTAAATCCGCATTGGTAGTCTCCGATAATTTCCTCGGCGTATTCCGTGATTCGACTGGTTAAGATTAAAGTGAATATTTTATAACATACCGGAAGGAGTGAAATTCCTCGATAGTTATTACAATCCGTCCTCGGGCCCTTTTTGTGAATCGGAATAAGAATAGATTCTTTCCATTCTTCAGGTAATTTCTCGTTCACCCAGATCTTTTTAACCAACCGATGTATTTTAGAAACTCCAGCTTCCCCGCATGCCTTAATTAGTTCAGTAGGAATATTATCGGTTCCCGCTGCTTTATATGATTTTAATTTTCCGATAGCTAATTCAACTTCCTCTTTACTTGGTATTTCTATTAACGGTTCAGCACTCTGGTACTCAGAAGGAGGACACAGATCATAATTTCCCGTATTTAAAATATTGTCAAAGTGGTCCTTAAACTTATTCAATATGTCAACCGGATCGGTCAGAATATTGTTATTATCATCCCTAATTCCAGACGTTACGGGCCCTACATATTTACGTGATCTGTTTATACCTTTGTACATGTCTCTAACGTTATTTTCGATTCTATTAGTTTCTATTTCAATTATTTTATTTTTAAGATACTCCCTTTTTTTATTTTTGAGCAATTTTGTCGTTTCGCTCTTTGAGATTCGGAAGTATTCCAGATTGTCTTCGCTAGGATTATTTAGAGCTTTTAATTTAGCGGCTTTTCTTTTTTCACACATGTTTAAGCAATCTTTATCAAACCACGGTTTGTTATTCTTATTTTCCTTTTTTCCTAGACACGAGTTACCGACCGCTTTAATATTATCCCTGATCTTTATCCATAACTTGTCAATATCCTCGTGGTCCTCGTCAGGAAGCTCTAAAGCTTCAAACCTATTCTTAACATCTAGCTCGAATTGGTTTCTAATTGATGGATTTTTTAATTTTTCCAAATTAAAATTCTCAAAATCGAAACGGTTTTCTTTTCTCTTTTTTATATTAAGTTTTTGTCGAAGTTTCGCGATTACTAATTCATGATCCGACCCACATTCTGCTCCGCGATAAGACCGTACATTAATTATACTGCTTTGCCAGCTGTGTTGTATCAAGACATGATCGATTTGATTTCGTGTTTGCGAATCCGGTGATGTCCAAGTATATTTATGAATATCCTTATGTTTAAACGTCGTACTTTTAATTATCAGGTTTTTCGAGATGGCAAAGTTTATCAGACGGATCCCATTATCATTACTATATTCGTGCAAACTTTCTTTACCAATCGTCGGAATATAAACTTCTTCCCTTCCTACCTTTGCGTTCGCGTCACCTACAATTATTTTCATGTAGTTTCGCGGTAGTTTATCATAAACCCATTCGAGTTTATCGTAAAATTTACTTTTGACTTCATCGTCACTGTCTTCGGTCGGACAATGTATGTTTATTAATGCGATTTTAAACCAACGGCCCTGAAGTGTAGCTACCGAAATTCTATCACTAAAGAATTGTACGTCCCTCAAAGCGGATAGTAATCTACTCCTAATTAGAAACCCGGTACCCAAACAATGATTCCCGCTTCCTCCGTACCAAATAGTGTACTTTCCTTCCCTCATCGAGCCCTCCCCTGGCCAGCGAACCTCTTGCAGAGCCACGACATCCAAATTGTACCCATTTACCTCATTCGCGACCGATTTTAGCCCCCCTGCTGTGTTTAAACTCCTTACGTTCCACGTACCAATATTTAAATCCCTATATTTCAACTTGCACCATGAATCCCCTAAAGCAGTCCCCACCCGGAGACCCGAACGGGGGACTAGTTTACCTCCGGATAATGAGCGTTTTACCTTAGGGAGATCCATGACTTTTTGTGGTGTTTGGTGAACTAAAGATATGTGAGTAGGGCGTTCAATCCTACGTCACACCCTCCAGCAAGTCTGGTGGGCCCCTTCCTCCAGCAAGTCTGGAGGTCCCCTCCCTCCAGCAAGTCTGGAGGGCCACTCTCATTGTTGGTCAGCGAGTCCATCGGACTTAGCCGGGAGGAACTTCCAAGGAATTTCCACCGACCATCCCCACATCCGCCACCCGTGGGACGCTCCCCATACGCGGTAATGAGCCCGCGCGAGGAGTCTAAAAAATTAAATAATATAAATTATAAAAAAGTAAATAATGAATTTTTTTTGTCAGGCCCATACTTTAAAAGATATTTAAAAATAGAAAGGCAAATAGTGCCGGTTTTTGTGTTACGGGTAAATTCGTATTTTACAGTATTGTACAAAACCAGAAGCACATCAAAATAACCCATATAAAATTCGCTTTACCTTTATAACGTAACGATTTTTGTTACATTCAGGTAAAGCATTTTAGCTACCATAGCTGAATATTATTATTTACGTCAATATAATTTATTTTAATTAATTAAACAGGTCAATTTCCTATTTTTTTTTGTTTGTTAATTTCGATGTCTATGCGCAAAAGATCCAGGTCATCAGCGACCGATCAACTAAATAACACTACTTCTATACTGTTTGGATGGTCAGTACAAAAAATAAAATTAAATAAAAGGATTAATAGAATAAAATAAATAAATAAAGATAATAATAGGCACTTATAGATAATAAGATAGAATAGATAAATAAATAAACTAAAAGAAATTAGCAATAAAATCAATAAATGAATTGAAATTAATAAACTAATGAACTTTTAAAATAAATAAAAAAATAAAATAAAAAATAAGAGAGAGCAATACTTTATTTAAAGCCGTGCTGCCTGCAGTGGGTTGCTCGATACACAGCATACTCATCAATCCTTTTTTTTCATGGACATAGCACTTAATTTTACTTAATCATATGTTTATATATATATATATATATAAATTATTTTTCATATTACACAGCATATACAATCTCAATACTATAATATACTATTACACACAATTACAATTATACAAATAATAATAATAATAATGAATCTGCAAAGGATCATCAATTATAAACTTGTCATATATGTTTTTTAAGTTTTTCATTATCTAGAAACTTGATAACTTTGGTAACTTCTTGATTT